ATTTCTGTATTTATTTTTAAATATGGCAGAGTTGGTCCTCCATACCTACTTGACTTGACCTGTGAAAAAGTTCTGACCCCGTGTTTTGAACGGATGCCCTTTGTTTCTCGGTCGTGTTTTTGTTTGAAACGTGTTTGCATGGGGCTGCAGTATCAGTTTTTTTAGACAGATTTGTCGTAAAAACAAACACATCATGCAGTAACCTGGAGTATTCGGACATGGTGGCGTAAATTTTTCCAGGAGTACAAAGTGTCCAATTTCGAGCAGCGGTTGATGAGTGAGATCGAGTTCCGTTTAGAGCGGACGCCGGTGGAGGAGTCGGACGATGAGGTGCAGCACGACGACATCCCCACTGGGAAATGCATCGCGCCGCTCTTCGACAAGAAGCTGAAGAACTACAAGGCCATGGAAGGCGTGCCCGTAACTTTCAGCTGTAAAGTTTTGGGGGTCCCTCCTCCAAAGGTGAGACGGTAACAGAACCCACTCGTACCTGTCGGGCCCCTCATCTCTTCTTGTTTTCACAAACATATTTGTTCCTGATCAGGTTTACTGGTTCAAGGATGGCAAACAGATCCTGAAGAAGAACACTCACTACCAGAAGATAAGAGAAGGTGACGGGACCTGCTCCTTACACATCGAGTCCACCACCAGTGACGATGATGGAAACTACACCATCATGGCAGCCAACCCACAGGTATGACTTCATCCTTCCTCTTCTTCCATCAATGCCTCCCTTCTTGACGCTCTGGCTGATTATGAATCTGCTGTTGATCATCAGGGACGAATCAGCTGTTCGGGACATTTGATCATCCAATCTGGACCTCCACAAAGCCGGCTGACGCCTATCCAGTCTCAGAGGTGAGCAGATGTGGGACAAATGGGACAAACTGTGAGCGACAAGCAGTGATATGGAGTAAAGGGGACTATTATTCTGAGATGGAATAATCTGACACACTTTAACCCTTTAAAGGCCGATCCAAGAATAAAACAAAACAGAAAATTACTTTTTTTGGGCTGAATTCCTTATTTGCCCTTTTAACAAAATATGTAAAAAGAAAAAACAGAAATAGATTTTTGATATTAATAATTTATTACTATGCGATAAGTCAAGATTATATTTTGTGTAGTCTTCTACTGGCTGTTATCAGGTATATCTGATTGTGTATATTAGGATTTTAAGAAACTGTATGTCTCAAATTTGGCATTACAGGGTTAATGTTCATGCAGACCAATAGAAAAGTCCAACTCTAGAGCTGGAGAGATTATGATCTGCAAAACGCAATTTGAAAAAGAGGCTCTTAAAATATAAAATAAGAAATTTGAATTACAATGTGAATAAAAAAAAGAATGGGAAGATAAAATCTGAGAAAACCGCAAATTTACTGTCAAAACGCTTTGATAAGGAAGTTTTAAAAAGTTTCATTAACCAAATTTGTATTTACAACAATAGTGGTACAAAATTCACTCCATACTGATGATTCCAGGGTTCGAGCTCGCATCCAGGAGGTTGAAGGAGAACAAACCCAGGAGCGTTTCTTCCAACCTCACTTCCTCCAGGCTCCTGGAGACATGACGGCTGACGAGGGGAGACTGTGCAGACTGGATTGCAAAGTAGGTCGCCTGATGGGTCAGAAAACCCTGTGAGAACAATGAAGATAGTAAAACCAAAAAAGTTAAAACAAACCTGGACGTTTGTTTTCCAAATTTAAAGACGTTTCGCTTCACATCCAGGAAGCTTTTTCAATTCAAAATGAAGATGTTAAACTTCACCTCACTCTTGGTGTTTTATTTCCAGGTGAGTGGGCTCCCCAACCCTGAGCTCATGTGGCTGGTCAACGGGAGGCCCATCTATCCAGACTTTAACCACAAGATGCTGGTGCGGGAAAATGGCATCCATTCTCTGGTCATTGACCCCGTGACGCAAACTGATGCGGGAACGTATACCTGCATTGCAAGTAACAAGGCGGGGCAGAGCTCCTTTAGTCTGGAACTGAAAGTCGTTGGTGAGGTCTACATACATATAAATCATTTCCTGTTTACTCATTTGCAATAAAATAAGAAGAACTAATGTTGTCTTCCTACTTTAGAGAAAGAGAGGAAGCACCCGCCTCAGTTCCTGGAGAAGCTACAGAACATGGGCATCCCTGAGGGGGCCCCGGTGAGGCTGGAGTGCCGCGTGGCGGGAATGCCGCCGCCAGCCATCTTCTGGAAGAAGGACAATGAGACCATTTCCAAAACGAAGAGCAGAATGAGGTTAGTTGGCTGTCAGACCCCTTCATAGCAATGGGGGTGGGGGTTGTTTGGTGTCTTTTTAGGGCCTTAACAATGCAATAAAACGTTTTCACGCCCCTCTACTTTTAAGCATATTTTAAAAAGAGTAAACATATCTTTTCAAAGACTTTTATAAATCTATAATAAATGCTCATATTTGAAGGTATTAATATTTACACCCATATCTTAATATTAGTTCTTCTTCTTGGGTTTGTCTTAACAAGCTTGGTTTGTTTTGGAGATTTTCACCCCTCCTTCACTGCATGATTCTGCCCTTTTTTAGGTTCTATTTAACTTTTCTGTTCAAGTCTTCAGTTACACTTTGATTTATGTCTTTCTGTGTTCTCAGGGTATTTGGTTTCATTTATATTTTGCCCTTCTAGTTGTTTTCTGGTTGTATTTGACAGCTGTTGTATTTCTTGTTTACTCTCTGTCCCCCCATTGTGTCAGTCTCCTTTCCCCTTCTAGATCCTTCTGTCCACATCTGCTCCCAATCATTTGATTAGTCCATTAATCGTTCTCTTTGGCATATGTATATATAAGAGGATGAATTATTACTAACTTGTTTTAAGGTATATCAGGTCAAGCTGCTGTTAAGAGGAGCTGATGGAGATAAATTCAGCTGTTTTGCTCCTAATCGGCTGTAAATCTGATTACACTGTCAGGGAGTGAAGTGCATTAAAAATAATATTTACTATCACTGTATTTTAAATAATTATCATAATTATCTC